CGTCCCCGCCAATGCTGTGTAGTTTTGTTGGGCATCGCGGCACAACGTATGTGTGCCACTTGATAGGCGTCTCGACTTGGTGGGCGCCGAGGCATTCCGCCAGCTTTGCCTTACTTGTAAGTAGTCTTTCCTGTATTTGCTTGTTTCGCGGCTTCAGAGAGTAACCTGTGCTGATATGGTAGACGTGGGGAAGGTCCGCTAGCCCCAGGCCAACGGCCTTACAGACGATCTGTCGTACGGCGAACGGTGCGATCTTCCGAGCGGCCGCTAAGCTTTCTTCCGGGACGCGGGCAAAGATGCGGAGGTCCTCCTTCGGCTGCGCCTGCGGCTGATCCTCGGCGGGGAGTGTGGCCTTCGGGCGGGCAGAGCTCTGGCAGCTCTGGCCGCTCCGGGTCGCCGCAGTGGTGTTGCCCGCCATCGGTGCGACGACAGCCGCCCAACTCCGGGCCGCTATTGGGCTTGTCTCGTGATTGATCAGTCTCTTGAGGGTTTGAATGACATAGGCAGTGGCTTCTTTCGCGATCTGCTTTCTAGAACCGTCAAAGCTGGCGACAACGCTGTCGACGGACCGTGCAATGGTCAGAAAGACGTCTTTCCGTGCCTCGTACTGTCTAGCTTCTTCTGCAAGGGCTGTCAAGACGGACCCTGTGGCAGATCCGCTCGGAGCAGATGCGGTAGAGGCTGCGGGCCCCTCGGCCGAGGTAGGGGCGTCGGTGGTGGCATCAAGCTGGCTTCCCGTTAGGCTGGGCCGGGTCGGCTGTGCCTCGGCGTCGCGGCGTCGCTTAGCTCTTGAGGTGGGGTTCGGCTCCGGAGGTGTCCCGGAGCCTGGTTCGGGGTCGGCTTGGTCGGCCGACATCAGTCCGGTGCCCGACGGCGGCTGTGAGGCCATCGCGGATGCGGGCTCCGGCAAGGGGAGGTGAAGAGTTTTCGGCTGTTAGTAATTTGGTGGTAGGCTCACTCATTCACTAACAGCAGATGCCAAGAAAAATTAGGCGAGAGGGAAGTTGCGTCTGAAGTACTTGTAATGGGGGCTTCTTCATGAACGTGGCTCGGACCCTGGTTGAGTCTGCTGCCATCATTGGTGGCTTTTGTTTTGCTTTTGTGCCATCGACAAACAAATTCCATCCACCAACTGATCAAACCCAACATCTCACAACCTGCAACCGGCCCAGACGAAGCTGTAGAATTGGAAAACCGCAGCATAATCACAGGGGTTTTTGGTCGCGAGTGAACGAAGTTTGTAAACTACCCATCACGACCTCTAGTGCCCGTTTCCCCTGTATGAAATACCATATTGGGTGAGCGTTGGACTTGGTCCGTTGACAGAAATCTGAATCGACCTTCGTTTCTGATCACTGGAATGACAGAAATCGTGCTGGACGGTTCTGCTCTGTGCAAGTGTGCTGTGTCTACCATACATGCAAACGGAGGGTGAACCTACTTTCAGGATTGCCTTCGATCGTTGTGCCATTTTCCACAAATGAGCAATTGTTCTTTAATTATGTACGCGTGGAAACCAGACACACATATCAAAGGGTACAAGCGATAACCTAGATATGATCTCACCTTAGCGCGGTAACTCCGGGTTTGTGGGGTAAACTCGGATGCGTCCCGATGATAAACCCCCTGCGTCAAGCTAAGCTTATACGATATAAGGGTGCTCGGAAAAGGGAAGGCAAGTTGCTCGCATGTAGACTCACTCCATCCCACTTACTGATTCATTCGGAAAACCGTTGATGGTTCGTTACTGGTGGAATCTCGCGCGGGAAAATCTTTTCCTTCCTTCATCAAATATGAGGCTGAAGATGGCGGACGGCCTAGGATGTGCTACGTGAGGTGGTATCTTCAATACTTGGAAAAAAAACGAGATCAGTTTTGATCATAGAATCATAGAACTACCAAGTTTTCAATAGCTATAAGTACAGCGTTATATCCCCATGTGAACCAAGATCACATCATCAAGCTTCACCCCTGATCTTCAGAGCCAAGACTTCCCAACGCCCTGCTCCCGCACAACGCCAAGATGCACCAATACTACCTTCTTGCTCTCCTTCCCGCGGCCCTGGGCTGCCTAAACACAGACACGAACGCGTGTGCCAGCTACATCAAGTCCAACGCCGCCGCGTCGACCTTCTGCGCCACCTTCACCAAGAGCACGGTGACTGCCACCACCGCCCTCCCCGCCTGGGCTACCAACTGCTCGCAAAAACCGAGTCTCATCTCCGCCGAATGCACTTGCGCCTACAGTGGTGCTGGTGGTAGCTCGCCGACTACCACGTTGAAGACTACTACTGCTGCAGGAGGCTCTACGCCCACCGGAGTCACTACCACTCTTCCCAAGTCCACTGGAGCTACTTCTACCAGCAAGGCCATCACTGTATCCGCTGGGCAGTCGTATGATGGCGGCATGAAGAAGTTTGACCGAAGCCGTACGTTGTCAAAACGACAAGAAAAACAATGGATGATTGAATACTGATACCAGAGCAGCTAGGGTTTGCGCTGAGCAAGACGAGACAGGTGAGGCTGATGCGATGTTCGTCCTTGAGGCTGGTGCCACCCTCTCGAATGTCATCATTGGACCCGATCAGGCAGAGGGCGTTCACTGCAAGGGAACATGGTTAGCATTCATTCAGCGCTGATGAGAGTTTCCGTGCTAATTGACTGTAGTACACTGTAATTGAAGAAACCTATTGGAAGAAACCATACGAAAAACACGAGACTAACAGTGGATACATTGTAGTAACAACGTTTGGTGGGAAGACGTTTGCGAAGATGCTCTGTAAGTCTCTCAATCTCAATTGTGTAATGGTGTGTTACTGAACTTCTACCTCCAGTACCTTGAAGCAGACCAGCGGAACCTCTTACGTCAATGGTGGCGGTGCCTTCAAGGCCGCAGACAAGATTGTTCAATTCAACGGGTTTGGAACTGTCTCAATCAAGAACTTTTATGCCAACGAGTAAGTCAAATTCGTCTCTATCTATTGAGATACAAGTTGCTGAAACGTAGCTAGCTACGGAAAGGTCGTCCGAAGCTGTGGCAACTGCAGCGGTAACGGAGGTGCACGCAACATTGTTATGAACAACGTGATTGCAAAGGACGGCGGAGTCCTCTGCGGCATCAATACCAACTACGGTGATACCTGCAAGGTCACCAGCTGTTGCCAAGATGACAATAAGATTTGCGATAGGGTATGTTGACTTCGACCCTGACATCTCTGTGAATGTGCAAGGAAGAAATGCTGACTTCCTGTGTAGTACACGGGAAATAACAGCGGCGCCGAGCCTACTAAGATCGGTAGTGGACCTGATGGCACCTATTGCGTCGCCACCAGCTTTACCACGGCCTGTTGATTATCTGTGACGATGGCGACCAAACGATCTATGTGATGTGGCGTTGTAAAAGCCGCTTCATCCTGATTTGAAGTTACGGACTTGTAAGCAAGGGGTGGAAGGTGAGGAAGCTTCTGGCTCGCCGGCAAAATGTAGTACTTTGCACTGTACATAGTACCTATATCATTCAGTCAAACATATGATGTATCAATTATTTGCTACTGAAATAAACCGATTTCTGCGCAGTCATGTTAATTTCGCACTCGTTCACTCTAAGGACTAACACATCGAATGCCAACAATGAGTCTGCCGACAATTCGATTCAGGTCGAAGACGAACTTATCGCGGTCTTGACGTGCATGAGTGCTTTAGTACTTACACGCTGACCGGCAAATCGAGGTTGTATTTTTCGAGTGTAACAATTATTAGGAACAACGTTCAAGGCATCTGACGTGCTCAGTGCTTTGTTGGTGTTTGGGTCACATGTTCGTCAAAATAATGTCTGGTATCAGTGCCTTGGGTGGTACAGACCACTTTTGTCTGTGGCTGGCAACCGACAGAGAAACATGCAGTCAATGTCGAGGTTACATGACATAGAAAGCCTCTTGACAAAGCCACCTTGAGATTATTCTCCTTCCCAATATCCTCTAGTCACCTCGGTCAACCTTGAGCAGCGATTTCTTGGCAGCGGCCGCCTCATTGCTTATTTGCAGCGCGCAGAGTTTGCAGTTGATCCTTTGTGGAAGGTAGCTGACTACCAAGAACGCCTTCTGCAATTATCTACTTAGACGTCCAAATCACTGTGCTATTGGGCAGTATACGTAGAACCCCTCAGTTAGCAGGTCTTATTCTTCCTCGATCGAGAGACAAACTCCGAGTAGCTTACCCGAAGCAGCTACGACGTGACAGATCAGAATGCATCATAAATGATCTTGAGGACTAGTTACGAGGGTGCTACTCACACTCATCATCGACAAGAGCAACCAAGAATGGTTACTGATGGACGGAGAGTACGAGAAAGAAGGGGTTGTCGGAGCAGCCGCAGACGGATATCCCATGACATACATCTGGGATACAAGGTGTTTGAAGGCGCCCAAGCAGTTAGGTCTTTGCAAGGCAACCAATGTTGGCATCGCCACAGCCAGCACGTCATCTATGGTTTGCCGTATCAGTATAAATAAATACGCTGCCGGACTCCGCGTTTATGACTTCTCTTCAATCCTACCCGACCCCGCTGGCGCTGGTGTCTGCGAGACAGCCTACTTCGTCATCTATCCCGAAGACGATGTCGCACCTGGCGGAGGCGAGGTTACGTTTCCGGGTAGCTGGGCCTCATATGCATATTTCAAGTCTGAGTTCATCTTTGTCGACATTATGGAAAGAGGTGGCTTCCTTGTCAAAATGACGAAACGCGAAGCCTGCAAATCAAAGACTTATGATGCCGACAGTTGTCCACAGGCCATGCAGGCAACGAGCACTCCTGGACGCTTGGAAGAGAGTCAGAAGTCCTGCGGCAACTTGACCAAGACGATCATTTGGCTGCGGTTCCGTGCTATGCCACGGAGGCTTGTGCAACAACCATCATTTCGAGAGTTAGCGCGGCATGTTGCTGTTTGCCTACGACGACGCAAATCTAGGTTAGATAGCTTAGCCCAGAGTCATTGTCCTTTTTGGATAGTCTCAAAACCTCGGATACTCCAATTGAAATGAGATAAACTGTGTGTGGTGTACCAGAGCTGGTGACGTACGATTTGTGTTTCGCAGACTCCATTACATAGTTCAAGATGGGTCATCGTGTCCAATTGACTATTTTCTCACAGAGATGAGTCTGTCTCGTAACAAGTGTTATCCGTGTTCAACTCGGCGGCTCCCGAGTCCTAGAAAAGCTTGAGAAAGGCTAATCTGGACAGTTCAGTCCCGCCCTTTCCCTACCAGATCACTGAGTGATAGCGAAGGTTATAATCGACCTCAAGAGGAGGTCGATTCTATCGATTATTATCGGGGCCTACGAGTTACTGTTGCGCGAGTTATCATTTCATCGGAGAGGATCGGGCACTAGAAGCAAGCTTGCAACCAGGATCCACCGGTTCCAGATCCACAATGACAAAGCCGGTCCCGGCGCCCGTCCAAAAAACTGTATCCGTAATCCGAATCTTTCATTCCCGTTTCTTTCGGTTTTCGTACCAGAACCGACTGAGCACGTAACATCGGAAAACATGCGCTCCAGTCTCTCCTGCGAATTCTGCCGGTATGTCCCCATTGAGTTCCAGCCTTGCTTCCGGCGATCGATCGGATCCGATGTAACGGCCGCTGACCCCGTTTTTTTGACCCCGCAGGCGGTCCAAGATCAAGTGCGTCAACAGCGGAAGTCCGCCGTGCACCAAATGCGCGAAGTCGGGAAGACCGGACTGCGTACTGACCAGACCCCACGTCGCGCCGAATGGACGGGCGGCGAAGCGGGCGCGGAGAGCAACGGAGGAGGCTTCGTCTGTGTCGCATGATCAGGATGTCGAGACTCAGCGACAACTTCTCTCTGCGCCTCATTCACGGGGCCCGGCGACGCCCTCATCGGGCTTGGGGTATCAAGATGGCAGACAGGAAATGGACCATCATCTCGAGCAAGTTCCCAAAGACGTTGTCTACATCGCTCTCGAGGCCTTCTGGCGCAAGTTCCCCGAGCTTCGCGTTATTCACCCATCTTCCTTCATGATATCATTTGGGGCCAATTGCCCTAGAGAAAGTAAGGCATTGTTAGCAACAGTGCTTGCAATGACCAAGACCCAGAAGCCGGATTCGGACCGTCTGCGATCCCAGATCCTTTTTCCGAGTGAAAGGTATGCGTCCTATGCGTGTGATGTCCTGGCAGCATGCATACTCCAGCCACCAGATGTCAAGGTCATCCAAGCCCTGCTTATTCTCACATTGTATGAATGGGGCACGCGAGATTTCCACAAGGCCTGGATGCACTGTGGTAGGTCAACTTCTGAAGTTTCACGTCAAATGTGTCTGACATCGAACAGGAATCGCAATTCGCATGATGCAATTACTCCATAGCTCGCGAGTAGCGCCCTTCCCACTTGAAATTCCACAACGCAGCGAACCAAACAGCCTTACTCCCGCCATCGAGACAAGGACATTCTGGGCATGTTTCATCATGGATTGTATGGTGAGCTCGGGAACATACAATCCACGAGTGCTACCCAAACAGGAGATGGCAAAGCTCAACGTGCCGCGACCGCCTACTTCTACCGAGTTTGCTCTAGGGCCAGGATCGTCAGCGCAAGCTGAAGGCGTGGGGGAGAATTTCACATCGAGTGGAACCACAACTTCGGTATACCTCGATTTGGACCAGAGCTTTGGGGTCATGGCTGATGGGTTCGATATCTACTCTGATGTCATGGCTTTCGTGTTCAACGACGGGCGTAAAGCGCCAGGCATGTGCTTGCCCGAGAATTGCCCTTGGGTTTCTACATCACCTGTGGCATGTTGGCGTCGGAGACTCGAGGAATGGAGAACAAAGCAGCACTATCGATTACACTATCCGGCCAACAGCGTTGCTGCATACGCTACACTAGGCTACGGTGAATCCTTCGTCTATCTAAATCTGCTTTATTACCAAAGGTTAGCCGAAGCTCCCCCTCTCCCCCCCCCCCCCTCCTTTGCGCAAAGACTTGTCTGGGCTAATCCGAGATTACGGTAGTGTCGTCATGCTCCAGCGAGAATACTTCCCGTTCCTACCGACTATTGACATGACTCCTCGTGGACCGATAGATCCCCCTACACTTGAAGCTGAGGCTCCCCCGGGCTGGTGGGAACAGAGTGCAAAAGAGCTATTCGAAGCAGCAGGTCACTTATCTAGCGTTCTTCGAGAGGCTTCAGAATGCGGTGTTACAGTTATGACGCCCTTCGCTGGGTTCTGTGCATTCTCGTCTTGCTACATCAATCTATACGGATTCATGTTCCCGAGGATTGGTGTTGGGTATGCTACCAGGGCGGAAGAGTACATGAACTGGAGTATAGAGTATCTCAATAAGTTTCGCGAAGTCTGGGACCTCGGCGACGGATGGGTGAGTCATTGATGCCATTGGAGACGCAGTCCCTGTGGACCATCGTTACTTTACTTATGACTGACGCGGAACAGCTCAAGACCATCCAAAACGGGTCGTTGATGTACCAACGAGCGACGTCTGACGCTCAAAAATATCGCGGACGATCTCGCTTTGACTTCAGTGTCTTACATCAGTCTGTACACGAGTTTCGGGTGATTGATAGATCTGCTCAACATCTGGAGGAAATCAATAACGCAGAACGGGGTGCCGTCAGTACGGGTGAGGGCAACAATGCCTCAGGCGATAAGTCGAATCAGAATATCGGTGGTTTAAACTCACAAGCCTTGATAGACGCTGTTGGCAGTATGGACGATCAAGGGCTTTGGCCAAATTGGTGGTCAATGCTGGAAGATGTTGATGCTTCGGAGATTTTTACGATAGGCTAATCGCATTGAAAGAAGCCCTCAAATGGTTGATTTTTGAAGAATGGGTATAATTGAATTGACTATGTACGAAAGTCCGAAGTAGAACTGCCCTGGTATATTCATCACGCTCAGCGTCAGTGTGTCCCTGACCATGACCGCTTTTCACAAGGTTTCCGCTTCAACCTCCTCCAGTGCTTCTCTGAAAACACTGCAAATCTTACGCAGCTCCTCCTCTGTTGTCGTGAACGGAGGAGCAAGTAGGACGTGATCTCCTCTCGAGCCATCCACTGTGCCAGCGCCAGGATAGAGAGCAACGCCCTTCTCAAAGGCCCGCTCTTGAACTCGTAATCCAAACCGCAGCTTGGGATCGAAAGTCTCCTTTGTCTCCCTGTCCTTGACAAATTCGACAGCCCAGAACAAACCTCTTCCCCTGATTTCACCGACCGATTTGCAGTTGATGAGCTCAATGCGCAGTAGTACTTCAAGCTGCTTCCCCAACTGAGCGCAGCGAGCGACGAGGTCGTCTCGCTTCACGATCCTTTGAACAGCCAATGCAGCTGCGCAGGCAATGGGATGGGCTTGGTAAGTGTGCCCGTGGTTGAAGGCGTTGGATCCCTGTCTCAGCATGGACACGACCTTTTCGTGCATCAGAACGCCGGCAATGGGACCGTAACCTCCGCCGAGACCCTTGGCGACGGTGACAATATCGGGAACAACGCCCTCTTGCTCAAAAGCGAAGTAAGTTCCAGTACGTCCGGTGCCGCACATGACTTCGTCCAAAATGAGAAGAGCGCCATGCTTGTCACAAATCTGACGAGCGCCAGCGATGTAGCCGACAGGAGGTGCCACGCAGCCTGCGGTAGCGCCCACCATAGTCTCGACAACAAACGCAATGACGTTGTCTGGGCCAATCTTTTGGAACTCGTCCTCGATCTCGGCAAGGAGTCTAGCCGTGAATTCATCCTCGGTCTCATCTGCTTTCTGGTATTGGTACGGATATGCTGGTGAAACATATGAGACGTGGGGGTAGGAGAAGCCCTCGTATGGGACCTTTCTCGATGCGACTGTCGAAATCGACATGGTCGCCATGGTGTTGCCGTGGTAGGCTTGATTTCTACCAATAAAGTGCTTTCTCTGCGGCTGACCATTTTCGAAATGATACTGACGGGCCAATTTTAGCGCCGATTCGACCGCTTCACTTCCGCTGCAGACGAAGAAGGCCTTCTCGAGACCATGCGAATTGCCATCGAGGATAAGGTCGGCAAGTTCCTCAGCCGGCTGTGTCGTATAGGCTTGCGTGTGGACGTAGCTCACTTTCCGGGCTTGGTCCGAGATAGCTTGACAGACTTCCTCGTTGGCATGGCCAATCAGGGCTACAGCAGCACCACCGCATGCATCGATCACCCTCTTGCCGCTGGCGAGGTTGAGGTAGATACCGCTTGCTGATTCGACCATGGAGGGGTGTTGGATTAAAGAGCGGTGCATGAGACGGCCTTCGCCACCCTTGGTTTTGATGTTCTTGACTGTGGGAAGTTCGGCGTTAGCTGTTGTGAACAGCTCGTCGTCTCTTGCGGGAGCCATGGCAAAGGATGTTGAATGTAGACTAATAACTTGAGGTAAGATAAATGTACAAGTGGGAGAAAAGAGACAACCGGCACTTCAACTCTTCTAAATATACCTTCATTATTCGGCGCTAGTGCTGAAATCCGAGAATCATCGGGATCGACGCAAGCGGCTCCGTGTCTACGGAGCCAAACCGGCCGTTTCAACGGTGGGCCCGCGTCAAAATCATCGGAGGAACTACAATAGATAATCCACTTTGGACATCTCCATAAAATCCGCAGACGATGATAACCGCATTATTGCGTGAGAAATTCTGATATCGGTTCTGACGCAAACCCGATAACCGAAAGCCGACTTACAACATCCGATTTTCTCACTCAGACTCGAGAATATGATAAGCTCGAAGCCGCTCCGGGAGGAGGCTGAAACTTTCAGTTCGAAAAGAGTATGCTTCTGACAGCTTCTGCCGAATTCATTTGAGTTTTGCCAAGATGGACACCGAAAAAGGCACCTACCCCGAACGACAAGTCGTCCCAAGCCAAGATGGGCACGATACCGACCACTCAAGCGACGACCATGCCGCAGGTTCAGCTCCCAAAGCGGAGGAGCAGACTTACGATGACCGGAAAGCTTGGGTCACGGTTGCTGCGTCGTCACTGACCATGTTTGTCTACCTCGGAGTGATCTACTCTTGGGGCATCCTGCAAGTCAAGCTCGTCGAGACGACGGGTTCAAGTCTAACAACCTTGACATTTGTCGGATCAATGGCGACATCTTTCATGATCTGTTTCAGTATTGTCTCCGACAAGATCATCAGCAGGATAGGATACCGGCTGGCTGCGTTGATTGGTGGTCTCTTCATGGGTTTGGGTGAAGTTCTCGCAAGCTTTACTACCCACCATGTCGTCGCTTTGTTCTTTCTACATGGTCTCGTCTTCGGCCTTGGTGGTGGCCTTTGTATCTTTGTGAGTGCAACAAGACTCCTGCTGGGTCTGCAAATGTCCTATGTCCCACTGGCGCAAGCCATGACAACTAATATCATTTCTTACCAGTCTGTCTCGACTGCTCCGATGGGTCTCTTCAAGAAGCATAAAGCATTGGCTATGGGTTTTGTTTTCGGTGGTGGCAGCTTGGGTTCTGCCATCATGAGTGTTGTAGCCAACTACCTTGTCAAAGACCTGGGTGTCTCCTGGACGTTCCGCATTCTTGGCTTCGTTTTGTGGGGTGTTTCTATACCTGCATCCTACTTCTTGCCAAGGAGGATAACTTCGGGAAAGAAACCCTCCCGTCAGCTACAGTGGTAAGTAGATGGAAACAGCGACAACTTGAACATAGCTGACATGTGTTAGGTATCGCTTCAAGGAACCTCGCTTTCTCCTGCTCGTCGGCGGCACTGTACTTTCCTGCTTCCCGCTCTTCATCCCGCCCTACTTCATTCCGATCTTCTCGAGATCAATGGGCTACACCAAGGAAATTGGTATCATTATTCTTGCCTGCTGGAACTTAGCTTCTACCTTGGGCCGCGTTGTCGCTGGATGGGTGGCCGATACCTTTTTGGGACCAGTCGAGAGTCTGGCAATCTGTATGCTATTCATGGCTCTGAGCTCTCTCATCGTCTGGCCTCTTTCATCATCAATCGGCATCTTTTCCGTCTACCTCATATTCAACGGTATCGGATGTGGTGCGTTCTTCAGTCTCACGCCTATCGCAGTTAGCGCCACATTTGGCGGAGAGAACACCCTCAGCATCATCCCCGTCGTCTGGACGACTTGGTTCTGCGGTTTCTTTTTTGTAAGTCATTCAATGCCTTGAATTACTTAAACTTTTGCTTACCAAGTTAGGGTACTCCGATTGCTTCAGGGCTTTACTCCATCTCTGGTGATGTTGATGGTCTTGAGAAGTTTCGACCCGCTGCATACTATGCCGGGGCAATGGCATTGGCAGGATTTTCATGTGTTTCGGGGATTAGGTTTGCGCGGAGAACAAAGACAACGGAAAGTCTTGATGACAGGATTCATCAGATGACCTGATGAGTAAAACAAGAGCACATTTCCGTGGGGTGTGCACCAAATAACGGCCGATCACTAAACTAGAAGTTGCCATTTGAACGTGTGATACCAGATAGACCATAGAGTCAGCAGAGCATAGAGAGTGCTCAGACGAAGAGCTACGAGTATTTAGCATCAGCATAAGTAATTAATATCATCCACTGATACCTATGTAAGTATTGTTGTCACTTCCAAAGGCTCGCACGCGAACCACAATGCCACTCTTGAAAACCAGTCTCGTATGCCTTATCAAACCAACCAACAGACTAGGTCTATGAATGCTCACGATAACTTCTTCAAAGGCCACACAACGGGCGCCAAGATCAGTAACTCAATGTAGACACGACGATGGCCATCCAACAACGGATCAAAGTCGTTAGCAATTAGGGGAGCATTTATTGGCGGGACTTCGCATACACGATGATACTTCGTGATGCGGGGAAGTAGCTCCATGCTACTGGTGGACTTAATCACCGATATTGAATTACTTGGCAAAGTGTGACACTGAACCCTCCTTGAAATCACAACCCTTGACAAGTCTCCAAACGCCCATCCATCAGTTGGGATGATCACAAATCCCTTGTGAAATGGGTTTATTGAGAGACTTATTTCCATGAACCACAACGTCCAATTTTCTTGTCCCCCGCTGGGACTGTCACTTGGGCCTCCGATGTGGAAATGTCCTTACGTCCAAGGCCGACTTTTAGGCTAAAGTAAAATACTCCGTAAATCCTGATCTGATTTAGTCTGGGCATTTTCAACGACAGATGAGCTAATTGATGCTCTCGAAAGTATCCGAAGTTGAAACTGACGTACCTACTCAGGAATACACTTTTCCACAGTGTGCTTCGTAATGTAAATTACAGAGCTTCGGTATCAATATAAGCTGGGCATCACCGCTGAATCTAAGTACAAACCAGTACATCTCTCACTCGATTCCGCGACACATCAAACCTACGTTGTATAGCATTTCCTTTTCTTCTTTTCCTACAGCGGGAACCGAAACATGAAAATCTCATCCATAGTTGTGCTTATCCAAGGCATCGTCGCTGCTCAGGGTGCTGTCACTGAGAGACAGTCCAGCGGTTGTCTCGCTGCTGCTACTGGATTTGCTTCCCTAAACGGGGGAACAACTGGCGGCGCGGGCGGAACGGAGGTGACAGTGACTACTCAGGCTGACCTCGAGAAGTATGCCAGCGCATCAGGCAAATACGTGATCAAGATCAGCGGTCGTATCACCATCAGCCCTCTCGGCAAGGAAATCAAGATCGCCAGTGATAAGACTGTTATCGGGTTGGGCATCTCTGGCGAGCTTTATCAAGGTAAATCCTCAACCTATCTTTCCATTCAACATGTTGCATACTAAGCCGGCTCCAAAAGGTGGTTTGGGCTTGAATGGGGCCAGAAATATCATCATTCGCAATCTCAAGATTGGCCACACCAACCTCAACGATGGCGTGGAAAACGATCGTGATGGCGTTCAAGCCGATACCGTGAGCAATATCTGGATCGACCACTGCCTTTTCGAAGATGGTGGCGACGGCTTGGTTGATCTTCGGAAAGATACCACCTACTTCACCGTCTCCAACAATATCTTCCGTAACCACGACAAGACTTTCGGTATTGGCTGGACCGAGAATGTCACGGCTCGTGGAACCATCAACCACAACTGGTTTGACAACACAAACCAAAGAAACCCGAGCGCCGACAACTTGGCACAAGCGCATCTTTACAACAACTATCTCTACAGCGTCACTTCATACGGGCACTACGCTCGCGGCAGCACCAACGCACGTGTCGAGAATGTCTTCTTCGAGAATACCAAGAACCCCTTGACCAAGGACTCGGGCGCCGTACTCAACGCCACTGGTAACACTTATAAGAGTTGCACTGGCACTATGGCTGCAAACTCGGGAACCTCCTTTGACCCCAAAAGCCTCTATTCCTACACTCTTACGGCTACTGCTGATGTTCCTGCCTACGTCAAAGCCAATGCTGGTCCGAGAGCTTCTGTCTGCTCCTGAGTTGAGAGGATTGCGGGCACAATGAGATATCAGAAATCTTAAGAACATGCCCAGCGAGCTTCAAGTTGCAATCTAATCGTCTAGGTTCTCGAAATGAATCTCGTTGTCGTATCACACATGGATCCCTATGAACGGCCCAATGTGTCATTTCTCGAAGTCATCGAGATAGATCATGTGATACTATATTGTGAGAAACATGGTTGAAAAACGTTCGTGAGCCAAATGTTTGCTTCCCTTAGCCTTTAACCCCAATTCTCGCCTATGTCTACACCCTCCCCAGTTTGTGCCTTCAAACCAGCCACTTTCCATCTCCCTTGAGCTTCGTCTTCGACGACTCTTCCCAGTGACCTGCGTCAAATTTCCACGCCCAAACCTCCTGATTGGCATCGTAGCTAGCTTTGTGGCGTGACTCGAACTGACCGAGGCCGGCTGCACGCATAAGCGACCTCCATGGCTGGTTGTCATTACCCGTTTCAATCCTGAACACCTCACAGCACAGTTCGATTCGAGCATATTCAATCAATGCCTCGAGGATCTCGAGACCATAGCCTTTACGCCAATGTCGGTGATCGATGCTGATGCCGAGGTCCGTCATGCGCCTATCTCCCGACGGAAGTGTGGTCTTGCCGGTGAGAAACCCAGCGGGGTCCACGGTCTCGAGGGTGTTGTAACCACCGTTGCCGATCAACTCGTTGGTCTCACGGAGGATGACGACAATCCAGCCGTTCTTTCCATCTTTCGTAAAACTGACGAACTTGTCGATGCGGGTGCGAATCCTCTCTATAGTCAGGTTCTGTTCCGACTCTTGGAAGGGAAAGCTGTCGGGCGTCTGGAGAAAATTGAGCAAATTCTCCGCATCTGACTGAATAGCTGTGCGGATGATCAGCCGTGGAGTTCCGATCTCGAGCACGGAGTCATGTCGTGATGAGTCTTGTAGGGCCATGCTGGGATCGAATTCGTAGATTTCAACGAGGCAGCTAGAAATGCGATTCGGTGCTGCGCTGAGATAATCAATTAGACTTAAACAGCCTACGGTATTGATTTTAGTTGGTCACCAACACAGCGACGACGAAATTGTTGAGGCTTTCCTTTGGATGTCCTAGATGTCCTACTAAACTTCTCAATGAGTTGTACATATTGACAAAGGCCTCTATGCTGGATTTGCCAATCGTGAGTTATGTATGCTCCCCTTGCTCATTCACATCGTTACAAGCATCAAGCTGATAGCATAATAAATTGAGTTAGGTAGCTTGAGAACTGAAGGCTGAAAATCAGACGCAAGATGTATCATATTGCCATCGGCTCAGTTCAGTTTGTCGTTAAGGGTCATTCCTACATGAAGGTCTCCAGTTGACTCTATGCCACTGATCCATCTCTGAGACACGTTCAATTTAGGTTTAATGAGCTCAGAGCGCACATTGTGGACGGGAATACTACAGCGCAGCCGGGACTAGCTGCGGAGAAATTGCATGCGGCGGGGAAAGATGAGAGGGATGGTTACATGCCAGCGGGGAATTTTAGTCCACCTATTTCCGTGTCCCCGAGCCCCGCGACAGATAGTACGAGACCATTAGTTTAAAGGAGCTTCGACCGCGTGGTCAGTTTGGGATCGATTGGCGGCTATTAGTGACTGGCTTTAATGCAGCCAAGGATCTCATCTTGAGAACTTGTTTGATAGATCACGCGCAGTGACGGTACTTCCAGCTAGTTCGATAGTACCAGGGGTCAAAGGTTTATAAAACATGGAAGCTCCAAAACCTTGACCACATCTATACGCTTCTCGACGTGAAAATTGCAGAGCATCATAGATTATCGCTTACAGGCTCGCGTCAACATGAAGGTTTTCAATGTGCTCTCAACCTTGGCAGTTTTAGTAGGCAATGCTTTTGCGGCTTCGCGAATATCTCCGCCATCCGGCGCAATCGTCGTTGCTAAATCGGGTGGCCAATACACCACGGTGAGTACATTCGATTCAAAACAATGGCGCTACGGTTTCTAGGCTCTTACATGACGATCTGATGTGGTGTCACTTGGCTGATGTATACCAAAGCTTCAAGCAGCTATCAACTCCATTTCAGCCAGCTCCACCGCAACTACCACAATCTTCATCCAGCCGGGCACTTACTCTGGACAAGTTTCCATTCCCAGCCTGAGTGGAAAGCTCGTCATCTACGCATACACTACCAACGACCAAGACTACACCAAGAACCAAGTCATCTTGACCAATACTCTCTCAGCTGCGGATGCTGGAAGTAACGACTTATCTGCAACACTGAGAGTTGCAACTAGCTACTTCAGCCTATACAACGTCAACCTGATCAATGGCTATGGAAAAGGCTCTCAAGCTCTAGCCATATCTGCAAATGGCCAGTACCAAGCGTACTACGGTTGCAGCTTCGTCGGCTATCAGGACACGATCTATACCAACAAACCACACCAAGTCTACAAGAACAGCTACATTGAGGGTGCGACCGACTTCATCTTCGGCAATGACGGCAACGCTTGGTTCGAGAAGTGCACGATCGCTATCAACGGTGCCGGATACATCACGGCGAGTGGTCGCGACAGCGCCGACGCCTACTGGTACGTGATCAACAAGGCCACAATTGCAGCGAAGTCAGGCGCCGGTGTCGCCAAGGAGTCTACGGTGCTGGGCAGACCGTGGAGGGAATACGCACGCGTTGTCGTCCAGAACTCACAACTCAGCGATGTGGTCAAGCCTGTTGGGTGGTCTGCTTGGGGCACTAACCCCACCGCCAACGTTTACTATGCGGAATATGGCAACACTGGAACTGGTGCCAGCGGCACGCGCGTGAGCTGGGCCAAGAAGTTATCAAGCGCGGTTTCCATTGACACGATTCTTCCGGGCTGGACTTCTTGGGTTGACACGACTTATTGGAACTCTTCTTGAGGCTTGCTTCCTATAGCAGACGTAGCTCTTCAGGGGAAGATCTTCTGTGAGAAACGACTCGAAAAATCGAGACTTCTTCCCAATAATTCATTTCTGCATTCCTAGTGAAAACTTTCATTTCCTTTTGATACAACGTGATTCTTAGTCTCTTGATTGACATATGGTTTGTATTGGCCGGTGATTGCTCCGGAGCATTGACACTGGCGATGTCGGACTTGCCAAAGTTGACGCCTCCACATCGTAATCCGGTCCTGTATCGATCTGTCCTAAGTTGTGGTTGATATTGTTCATCAAGCCTGTATCGTCGATGTCTCGGATTTGTGATGTTAGCTGATCGTTCTGTCGAGAAAGCTCGGATAGATCAGTGCGATTGCGAGAGCATTTGGCGATTTGAGTTTCTGATCGGAAAGGCCAAATTCTCCAATCAAAAGATAAATATGGCCGTAGGGGCGGTATACAAGCAATGATCAGACCGACTTGTAAGTCAACAGCACTCCATAACTCTGTCCGGTTGATATTAGTACCACGATACGTGCAGTATCATAGGATACTGTATAAGCCATCACGTTAAAACTAGAATATCGACTCACCAATGAGTGTGAATGAGCGGAAAGATGTCACCGACACCTGAATGCCTAGGAACCGTGCCAAGCTGACTGCCAGGTTGATGGCTCCCAGAAAGAATGTGCAGTAAACACTGATCTTGACACTTTTCTGGAGTTGCAATCGGTACAATACAAAGAATGGAAGACAGAATACTTTGAGATGTGTGAGAAGTTAAAGATGCTTGTGTATGTGATCGACGTAGTGATGGGAAACTGACTCATCAGATCTGCGGCAAAGTTCAACGCCCAAGCGATTTGGAATACTTGAGCGAACACTATCGGGGAACATGCAATTGCTGGATCTTGGGACCTAAGAATAGTTTAGTTGGAGTTAGAGTTTGCATGATAAGATGGATGAGTCTTACCAGTTTCCTTGCAGAGGCCTACAAATTAGAAGTAGGGTGAGTATATTGGTGATATACGCACAGCCGCAATACACCATGGTTCCCCAGAGAATCTTGCGCCTAGTTTCCATAAAGATTGGAAAGAATCGAGCATATAGACTTAAGAGTGTTGCCTTGCAGAGATAGAAGGCTGTGAAGAATGGAAACTGGCCACTCCATTGCAACTGCATATAGCTGACGGTTAACTTGACTTGCAACACCCAAACCCCCTCAAACCTCTCCGCAATTCACAGTCCTACTTCTCGCAAGTCAACGATGCTTACCTTCCACACAAGCTCTAGGTCCTCGGGTGTTCCGTCATACCCTTCTAGGGTATAGGCAACGTGGGGACGTAATACTCTCATCTTATGGAAAACAATATCGTATGAAGCGGATGCTACGGTGAAGAGCCATGCAACACAAACGAGAATGTCGCTCGTGATAAGGGGGAGGTTTTGAATGACTAATCGCAGGTATATTCGGGCGCCGATCAGAGCAGCCGCAATTCCGATCAATGTGAATTCGGTTCCCTAACCGTGTTAGCCTGACTAAACTTTCGATCTGACAGACTGCGTTAAAGCTGAGATTCGGCGGGGGAAACTAACACAAAATTAATTGTGAAGTTTATGGAGGCGCGGTGACGTACAATAACCGCACCTGCGGATGGCCCATTCACGTCCATGATGAAGGTATCTGCGATATCTTCAGTTCGCAAAACCAGACGTATCAACATAGATCATAGGAGATGAATTTGGGCCAAATCCCCCGGAAGTCCCCACTGACGGAATCTGCGCTTTATCATGTTTAGATGGAGATTGTACTCCAGCTCTCTGGATGGCTTTTGCCTAGCTCAACGCCTGCAAGCAGTTAGAGCGCCGCCACAAGGGGTCGGGGCACGTCCACATCGACAGCCACATCTAAGCGCGATCGAGCAGTGACCTGCCAAAAACATGAAAACGGTGAACTTGGTTACTTTGTCTGCTTCGGTTTCGCTTTTTAATCTGATTATCTATCCAACCTTTCGGTGAAGCGCCGGACTCGGTAAGACTACTTAACATTAGCTACGGGCTAGAAACAAGCCAACGATGTCTAGCGGACCCGAGTGTTTGGACTTCATCGGGGTTACGGCCACCGTTTGAACTCTCATCATGATCTCGGAGGCCACTTGCAATACTTTGAATCGTACTTCGGGTGCTTCCGCGGCACTATCACTCGACCCAACGACCCTCTAAAATTTCAGAAGAGACTCTTGACTTTTCGTTGGAAAGTATAAAAAATAACTGAGAATTCTCCTCCCACCATACTAAATTCGTGAGAGGTCTAGGTCAATTCAATACTCATTATACGCAAGAAATATCCTGACAAGTGACGAATTGATCTGATGTGAGTAGAACTCCTGGCATCATCTCCGATCTCGAAAATTCTACGTGATGAGCTTCCTGGGTATGTAAATGATCTTAACTCGATACTAGTGACAGTGACAGATACAAGCCCCGTCTGGGTTCTATACGTGCGAATAAGTGACTCGTCTTCAGGATGCTCGTCGTGAATTCAATTCTTGCAAAGTGCATGTACCTGTAGTACCCCTTACCTCTTGAAAACCGATACCTAAAGTAATGGAATAGGTTCAACTCCACTCAAAGTCAGGACTATCACCATCCTATGATAATTGTCATTGCACATTAGGATACTTGGAGGTACTGCTTCAACTTCACTACGCACCGTCTTGCCTTTTCCACGGCGGCGGCATGACGTGACAGTTGGCCAGACCTGGTATTCCCCCTTTGGTCTTTCAGAATCTTCGTCTGTTGACATACTTTCCACATCAGTCTCTGGTACGGTTGCCGCCGCGCTTTGTGACAGTACTCTTCGTCCAGACTATATTTCCGTCATCTTACCATGTCGGCCATCCTCTTCGCATTAAATACCGAGGAATAAGTCGCCAAACGTCATTTATTGTGAATTATTGCACGCAAGGCAGTTCACCTCCTCATAATACTCAATGAAGGGAATTAGATACAAGCATGACTGAGCTGTTTGATGGACCCATCGATATGGACCAGACCATATATGTATCGTCCCAGTGTTGCTCTCAACACCCTTCCTCCTAGAATCTCACCTAGATGCCCCCTTTTGCAGTGACCCAGGCCCGGAAATTTCGATCTTTAACGCGCAATGATATAATCGTCATCATGTCTCTTAGTGTTGTGGTTCGTCTGTGACTTGCCCCTTCATACCAGCGCTTCTCGAATCACACGACGCGTGGCATCACACTTATTGACTGATTGGTCCCTGCAAATCAGGGCTCTATTGTGCTCTTGGAAAGTGCAGTTGGCTACTGCGAAAGGGTTTAGCAAGTTCCATTTGGTTCAGCTCAGTCGTCGGCGGCTGGCTGAGATCAGCTGAGCTGCAAGGTATGTAGGTGGGGACGGGAAGGGCCAGAACCGCGGGGCCGTGGGCGGGCCGAGAAGCTACCCATTTGAGCCACGCCTCATCCTCATATGGCCATGGCCGCAGCTCTACCCCTGCAATGTTAGTAAAATGCCGTCAAATGATGGACACAAAAACCTCTCTATCACGTTGGTCACTATTTCATCCCAGGCAGCCACACGGGCTTCCTCAAGAACGCTTGTTAGATCTCTTGACGAATGAGAGTTGACTGTGGCAGCGGAAAAGCAATGTGAAAGAATTCGGAACTACGTCTGAGTGTGATCTATGGGCTCAATTTGGGGAAAAGCCGTGATACTCAACCGCCTCAAAGGTTCTGGACTTGCCTGTTCTAGCGAAGAAATCCCAAAAAAGGCGACGAGCAATGTGCCTTGCATACCCGCTTTAAACCAGCGCTTGGGATGTGGCCTCGGATCACATATCCCGACCTGACATTGAAATCAGCCAGCCTCTTGGAATTTCCTGGCAGAGGGGGGTGATTCAGCGCGGATGCCGATGGTATAGCGTTTGCGTAGATGATGATTGTACGTTGTATACATGTATTGCGCTGAGGTATTCAGGAAGCAGTAAGTCAGGTCGTTCTTTCAAGTTCCGAATTTCTGTTCACAGGGTGTGCCAGGCAGCCCCAGAATAATCGTCGTGGGTTCTATGTGGCGAAGATCGCGACAGCCTCCTAAACCAGTCGGAAACCCTACATCCAAGCGGGAGTACGAACCACTCAAGCCATCGAATGTCTCCTGAGTATTGCCTCAACTGAAGCTGGCATGGATGCCAGTGAGACGAGGGAAGGGAGGAAAAGCCCATGTGTGCCTCGACTTTACCCCTGAAGAAATGGAAGTTGTTGTATGTATCGCGAGGAGGCTAGCTGAACCTCCTAACACCATTCTTGATCACACAGCTATCTAGTCAAGACGCGGGTGCTATACTGCGGCTGACAGCCTAGTGGCAAGATGATCAACTGAGTCGTCCGAAATTCAGAGTGCTTGCCTCATCTCAAACTACAAAAGGCTTCATCGAACCCACTCCATCTCGACAACTCTTTCCTGTCATCAACAGCTTTCAATCACTATCAGTTCGCCAAGATTCTCGCAAACAAGCATACTTTCCAACTTTTGATCTCATACTTACTCTCATTGGTCAATTGCCTTTTTGGTCTTCTTTTCGCTGTCAGCAATATTTGCCCAGCAAAACACAGGAGAAACGTCATTCACTACGAAGCCATTCCCTACCAAGCAATGTCTTACAACGCCCCTTCCAATACTTCCACCACCACCAGCGGCGCTCCTCGCGCTGCGGTCTGGAGCTTGAAGTCCTCCAACCCTGACCTCCCTGCGGAGTCAGCCATCTTGCCCGACGATGGTAGCAACGGCACTGAGTCCGTCTTTGATGATGACAAACGCCGTCGCGTCGACCCTCAGAACTTTGCTGATGGTGGCAAGTTCCGATGTAAGTCCTACCTCCTAATGAGGGGTCTCGATACCAATACCCCCCCCCCCCCTTGATCTGTAATCCCCTGGCCTCGAGTAAAATTGACACAAGAATCTCCAGCTGTCGTCAAGATCCAGGCTTGCTTCAACAAGGGCAACGGCAGCGTCTGGATGATGGGCTCCGGTTGGCTCATTAGCCCGGACACCGTCGTCACCGCCGGCCATGTCGTCTACGACTGGGGTCACCGCCTCCAGAGCGCCACCGAGATCAAGTGCTACATTGGATACTCTGGCCGCGCTTCCATTGGCACTCCCAACGTCCAAGCCCGCTTCGGTGAGCGTATCATCACCACCGCTGAGTGGATCGAGGCTGCCGGCAACCGCAGACATGATGTCGCCTTCATCAAGGTCAACCGTCCGTTCACCGGCAACCTCCGAAACATCCCCTTCAAGGAGACTCCTTTGTTCGCCAAGAACGCCAACATTGGTGTTGTCGGATACCCTGGTGACAAGTACCTCGAAGGCCAGAACGGACAGAGCGGAGAGAAGGGTGCTCAGATGTACGAGGAGTTCGCGCCTACCGAGTATGACCTCAAGAAGAGCGAGCGCCATATGATTGAGTACCAGGTCTCGACTTTCGCCGGTAAGTTAATCAAGTATCTCGTCTGCTTCTATTATAGCATGCTGACGGACACTTGAATACAGGTCAGTCTGGCGCCCCGATCTTCCAGGTTGAGAACAACTCGTTGGTGTCCATTGGCACCCACTGCTACGGTGGTGGCGGCGACGAGAGCAACTCTGGCAACTCCATCAGCGGCCCCTACGGTAACAACTACCATGCCTTCCTCGATCTCTTCAACAGCCCCCAGTTCCCCCAGGCACAGCGTCAGGGCATCAAGGTGCTCACTGCCAACGGCAATGCTCGTTCCAGCATCAACATCAGCGCCTCCAACGGCGCGCCCAGCAACGGGCAGGTCAAGAACAGCAGCGCCCCTTATTCCAACGGTTACAGCAACGGCAACACGTACAACGGCAACACGTACAACGGCAACGGCAACGGATATTCCAATGGCGCCTCCAACGGACACAGCAACGGCTACAACAGCTTTCGCCAGGAGATCGTGTCTTCTCCCCCGCAGCCGGCCCACTACAACTCGGGCACGGGTTTTCAGGAGAGCTCGGATGAGGAGGGCTTCTTCGATATCATCAGGTCGATCGCCAAAGTCGCCGGACCTGTCGTCTCGACTGTCACTCCTTTCCTTGGTCCCATTGGTGGACCCATCGGTGCCATCGCTGGCGGCATCCTTTCGACTGTCGGAGGTGCCGAAAGCGCTCTCGAGGACGGGAACGCGACTGCCGCTGTTGAGACCGCGATCAACTCGGGCGCCACTGAGCGCGCGGTGCTCGCCGAGGCGTCGCTTCAGGCCCTACTGAAGCTCGAAGATACCCCCGAGACCGCTGAGATCCTCCATACCATCAACTCCAAGTACAACGCTTTCAGGCCCAAGTTGGATGCCATCGCCAAGGTCGCTCAGCCCCAGCTCACTGAGGCCGGACTTCACCTGGCTCACCGCCAGATAGCCAAGATCCAGGAGCGAGGAGCCTCTGGATTCCAGGAGTCTGACATTGAGCTCCCTCGTGAGCAGCTCAGGGGCCTCCAGTACAACCAGCAAGGCTCGCAAGGAGCCTTTGTCCAGGGTCTCCTGGCACCCACTCGTCCGGTCTCGGGCGAAGAGGGCTTCTTTGACTCCCTCGGCTCTGTCTTGAGCAAGGGCATCAGCTTTGCCAAGCCCTTCATTGCGAGTGCCGCGCAGGGAGCACTCTCCGGCGTCATCGGCCGTCTCGGTGGTGGCGCGGAGTCCTCCATCGACACCCCCGCCGTCGGCTCTCATGAGTATGCCACACTTCTCGCGTTCAAGCGTGCCGCTGCCGCAGAGGCCGCTCTGCAGACCCTCATGGCGCTGCCCAAGGAGAAGCTAGACCTCCTTCGCGTCAGCGAGCCCCAGAACGGCGAGGAGGGCTTCTTCGACGTCATCAAGGCTGGCGTCCAGAAGATTGCCCCCTCCGTGTTGGACATTGCCAAGACGGCCATGCGCAAGGTCGTCCCCGTCATCGTCGACGCTGCTTCCCAGAAGATCAAGAGCGCCGTCGGACAGGAGAGCGCCAACTCGGCTCCCCGTAACAACGTCACCAGCACTACCAGTGTCATTCGGACCAAGAGGTCCGTCGCAGACTTGCTCACCGCGTCGGGTCAGTCCTACAAGGGAGCGAAGGTGAGCAACAGCCCTGATGATTTCGACCACGTGAACGCCACCCTCGAGGAGCTCCTCAAGTCCCGTGAGAGTACATGGGTGCCTTCGCTCCACAAGCGCAAGTCCTGGGACTCGAACGACGACGGCCTCTGCATGATGGACGACGAGGATCTTTGATTTGACGCGTAGATAACAATGTGCTAATTTGCTATGGCTAACGACAGGTCATTTCCACGTACTGATGATGGTGGAGTGGTTCACCCTTGACCGACTGTGGTAAAGGTTCCGGCTGATGATGCCAACGGCGGAGGAGGGTGGGACTCTTGCCATCGATGGCTTTTCGATTCGACTTCGCGAGTTTGGAACATATACAGTCATGCGAGACTGTAGTGTTCCACTCAGCTTGATTGGCTTGGTATTGTGTGTGCTTGCTCTTGTACTTGGTCTTTGGAGCTCTTCTCTCGTTTGCAGGATTCTGTGCTGTTTGGCCTCAGACATTGACTACGCTTATCGTACTCACAGCCTTTGGTTCATCCCGCTCTCAATCCGATAAAATCACTGTCATCTTTAGATCACCCGTTCCCGACGCCATATACTATATTATTCCTTTCGAGACGTCTTCATGGAGGGGTGTCTGTGTCTTTAGAGAATCGTGCATGTCTTATCGGTGTCTAATGATGCTGAGGGATCTGTGACTCGGCCGCCTTCTACGAGTATTAGTTCCTCGAATCGGTCACCGGAGTACTCGATGCGCTTCCATGTCTTCAACTCGCTCTTGTTAGCGTCAATCTCCCAGACGCGTGTCCTTCTGTAGTACCGATTCTCATCATAGGAACAGTAGCCCCCGAATCCGCTACCTCCGTTGTAACAGAGCCACGGGCCATGCTTGACCGATTGGGTGTCGCCTTCTACCAACTGGTCTCGCTGCGACTTTGGTAACAGAGCGCAAAAGTCATTGACATGATCGTGCCCACAACCCACCGCGGACACATCTTCTTGCACCAGGGCATCGTAGAGATGAGTGTTTAAGCTGGGGCCTTCGGTTGGTTCTCTCCGCTTGCCACCACTGATCGACAAATCGTCTCCTGCGTATTCGGGGAAGGGTATATGCATGAAAGCCAGAGAAAGAAAACGTGAGCCACTGTCTTTCTCTGTAATACGGATCTTTCTTAAATGCTGTGAAGTAGATATAAACCAGTCGATTTGGCTCTGCTGAATCGGCTCATAGTCGGGGTTCTTGCCAGCACTCGTGATTTGCCCATGAGAGTCTAAAAAGAAGAGTGTTGCTATCGGAATCTGCCTTTCATCGCCGGAGATGAGTTGGAGATAGTAGTTGCCTACACCATCCACTGAGTCGGGGCCAGCCTGTGCTAAACAAAATGGGAGATCTTGCAGTATTGCCATTTGCTTTTCGCCTACGACAATAACTGTTAGCACAGAAAATTGAACAAAAAGCGTCTTTCGAGACTTACGTGATAGCGCGTAGATGCCCTCATCGTCGTGATTCCCAAAAACAACCGCAAAAGGAATCGATCGACTGATCAAAGGTGACACGACTTTGAATAAAGGGGATTGTGTGTCCGGGATATCGTGATGTACTTGATCTCCGCTGAGAATCACAAAGTCGGGTTTCTCGACGTCCAGAATTTCCCCGATAAAATTAACCGTGTTCGGATCAGCTTCAATGCTAGGTAAAGGCCGACCATCTGCGTCGATGGCATCGTTACAAATCCCAGGTCCCGTGACCATGTGCGTGTCAGAAATCTGGACAATTTTGAATTTTCCGTCTTTTTTGACACGTAACGGCGTATTCGGGTCGTCAGGTCTGGGTATTGGTGGACCAAATCGTGCTGAGAGTCTTGGTGCGGGCACGTCTGGTTGATCCTCAAGCTGGAGGGGCGCGGGTAACAATGTCCAGCCTGGTCGTGGATCGACAGCATCCGTGCCGAAAAGAACGTCAATACCTGTCAACAATCTCAATTCGTGACCAGTGTGGTGACTTCTCAGGATCCAAATGCCGCAAGGTCGTTGCTCCCAGCTGTCCTCTGCATCAGTGGAAGGCTTTATATCGCCAACCCAAATATCCGTGATGACGCGGTTGTCATGGGCAACATCGGCCTCGTTCCTTTCTTCAAGGTAGATCCATGCCGTCTGCTCGCCTGCGTGAAGGTAGAGATCTTTCTCGAGTCGATTCCATGTCTGCTGTTCCAGAGGACACGCGGCTGGGGCGCCAGTTGAGGCGCAGAAAGTGACAGATAAATCTGTTATCATGGTGTTGAGTTGCTTCATTTCTGAAATGGTTGGATGACGTCAAGCTTCCGCTGAACGCCTCGCCGTTTGAGCTCAGGATAAACGTGCAAAAGGAAGAAAAAGAATGCGGGGCAAGCGAGTGTCATCACGGTGAGGTGGTTGCCTGATTCCGATATCATGTGACCCAACATGCGCAACTTCCCGTCCTCGATTTGGTGAATTCGAGCGGGCAGGCTGGCGGCTACTTTATCTTACAAAGAACACCAACCAATGAGACCTAGACGACCATTGTGTAACCACCACCACCCTGACCAAAAGCTCCGGGCGATGTGTCAGGACTCTCTCTACCAGCTCCCCCGGTCTGGTTTTTACCGGAGGTGGATCAAAATCTAATGGGTGGCGTTTGGGCGGCGTATTGCCAAGCAACATCTTCGGGGGTTGGAAGTGGAAATATCCATTTGCTCCAATGATCAATCGCGAGTGACGATACACCTCCCGTGGTGCTGCCCATAATCGCAAGAGTCGCGAAGCGAGGCGACCATGCTAGGGCTCTTTGTTCTTGTGTCAATTCCATTTCTAACGACTTGACTATTCGCAGTCGGCAAGGAATTGACAAAACCGCTTCATGCGCCAGTCACCAGTCCACAATATTTCCTTCTCGGTGACACCAAGTCCTGAGGCGTGATGGCCAACCGTATTCGCAAATCCGACACACCGAAGGCCGACGGATCATCACTTGGAGCGGGTTATAGTGCGAAGAGATTGTCGCCAACGACTTTTCGCCCTAACTTGGACCAGCCACTCCGAGGGCCTCCTAGCACACCACTGACACAGGTAACACGTCTTGACCACACTGTTCTTGTTAGGAACCTTGCTCAACTGGCAGCCACACTGGAGACGTCAAGTTGAAGGATCCCACTCCTGGTCGCTCCGTCGATACTCTGTGTAACTAAACGACATGGAACGATCTGTACCACGTTCTGTGACAGCTGTTGTGTTTGGTCCGCTGCTCCGGCTTCAGCGTTGATAACGACTGCCGACGCTGCCACATGAAATGGGCTGACCACCCTTCACATCACAGCCTGCGTCTGGTGTAATACAAGGAAAGAGGGCTGAAAATCTCTTGATCTCTTGGAGGGGCCTGGAGTAGATTTTAGGCCCAATAAACCTAGCAGTATGCGCTTCATAGAGGTCCGGAAGCTTCCTACTTCAGGTTTAGAAAATTCTCCTCGTAATCTTTAACAGTACAATGCGTACAACATCGTCTGAAAATGGATCCCTTGTCGATCACAACCAGTATCCTCACAATACTGCAACTGACTGGCAAAGGCTCCGGGCTAGCCTTAGGCGCGATCAAGTCACTGCGGGAAGCACCGGAAGTATTCAAGCAACTCATCACCGATGCCGAGGGCTTACGAGGTGAGTCGAGCTTGCCCTACAAAATCATTTACATCTTTTCAACGCGCTAATACAGTCAAAGATTTGCTTCTAGATACAGAATCTTGTCTTCGTAGCCGGTATGGAGATGGCCATGAAGATGCAATATCACCATCCATTGTTCGTGTCCTCAGAGACATCGAAGAGCGCGTCGCAGAGTTTGAACTACTAGTTCAGTGAGTTGTATCACATAGTCACATCGTCAAGTCCGTAAGGACTGATAATCATGATGAATGTCTTAGCACCCGGCTTTCGCGTCGGAAGAACGAGGATGGAAATATCGTGACCAAAGTCAAGCGAACAAGAATGCTGCAATCAGAAGCCGATATCCAGCGCATTAAAGAGAATATTCGATATTCATGCGATAATTTACGGACTCAACTTCATTTGCTTCAGTTAGACGACAGGCAAGTTAGCTAGTAGTCTGGTGGTTTCGACAAAGAAAACTGCATGCTGACCTTTGAACAGAGATGTCCTGAAAACAACAGTCCTTCAGATCCAGAGCGTAACAGTCGCAAGCCACAATGCCATTTGTGCTCTTCAAGAGCAACAGCAGAAGGTCCAAGAAGACATCAACATTGGGCTACAAAGTTTCCACGCTGTACAGAGCAACCTTGTCTGTTCCATGCAACCGTTGATTGCGCAGGCCCAAAGCCTGAGTCTTGGACAACAATCGACCAGCGAGCCCGATTTACAGATGACAAACAGTGGACTATCCGCCAACAGCCCAGCTGTTCTCATCTCTGCGAGTGTAAACTCGCATCGATGTCCGCGGGGGTGCCGATGCCGATGCCACACCCGGGCGGCGGTTCGCACACCCCCGTGGCTGAGAAACGTCGTCGGCCAGCTCCACTGGAGTTTCGATTCGTCAATATCGATGCGATCTTGCAACTATGCACCATGTAGGAAGAGCCTGAGTAAACACAACATCACTTGCTACTTCCCACCCTGGCTGGTTTCAAGGGCGATAATGGCTTCCGTTAACCTGGAGAACGTCTTCGACGCTGGGGCAAAGGTGTCGCTCAATGTGCCGCTGGTCATTCCGGAAGAAGACCATATTGTCTGGCCGCTTGTGATGGCTGGAAATCTCGGGCAGCTGAGGGATTTATTGTCGAGAGACAGGAATTTGATGCATGTAAGGAATCAATGGGGCCAATCCATCATGCACGTAAGGCTAGCTCCAATTGTACTGCGACGTATTACCTCCTGGAGTAGTGCTAACATAGTACTTCATCGAATGCCAGGTTGCTGCCAAGATTCATCAGCCAGCAGTATTTAACTTTCTCAAAGACGAAGGAATGGACGAGAACCTTCCAGATGAAAATCAGAAGTCCGCAGCCATCACTGTTCTTACTCGTAGAGGAAGCCAGGAATACAACCTCCCGGTCGATACAGATGATCTTGCGGATCGGCTAGGCTGGACCAACCTTCACAAAGTAGCCGCTTTGGGAGCGCGAAATGATCAGGAAATAACTGAAACCCTTCTCCGAGAATCCGAGTACTCCGATATCGACACCGAAGACGTCCTCGGCCGGACTCCGCTCCATTGGCTAGCTGAGAACGGCAAATCGGGTGCTATTCGCCTCATTACCCAAGATCCATGGAGCGCCAATGTTCAAGCCAGAGACTTGTGCGGATTTACGGCGCTGCACTGCGCATGCTGGGCGGACGATTTTGATAGCATCGTTGCACTGCTCGACGCAGGGATCGACGTAAACGCTCTTGACAAGCATATGCGAACACCCATGATGCACATGAGTAGTCCGGAGATACTGAAGTATTTGTTGCGCAAGGGAGCTGATGTGCAGATTAGCGATGATGAAGCGGCGAATATCATGCACCATGCTTGTGTGTCCGATCAGGAAGATCTCGTCGAGATTCTATTGAGAGAGTACGGCCACTCCTTACTTACCAGAAATCATACAGGCGACACGCCGCTCGGACAAGCCATCGCAAACAACAGCCTTGAAGTATTGAAGATCATGGCTCCTTACCTTCGAGGCTTCCCAGTGAGTCTTCCGCTTTTCAATTTGAGATAAGGTAACCCGTATACGGGACTATCAGGGGTAACTCGAGTCATCTCGTGGGGACCCCATGATGACCGCATTTCCATCAAATTATCTCTTTTGCCAGGAATTGCAGTCTACGGTGCCTAATGGAAGTTTGGTGTAGCCCGAGAAACTGAGCCTCTTGAACAACAACAAGAGGAGCCTACTCCACCTGGCAGCTTTACATGGGAGCACAGAAGCGATGGACATCCTAGCGTCCGCCAATCTCTGTGGCGTTGATGCGGCGATCAGAGACAAAGATGGGCATACTCCCAACGAGTGTTTTGTCAGATGTCGCAACAGCCACTGCGCCGTTGCCCGCAGGCCATTTGAATCAGAGAAGCTTTCATGGGTTTCACTGATGAACTCTGCACGAGGGCAGCAGTTGCCGGTTCAGGATCTGAGGGACAAGACGCCGACGATGAATCGACGATAGTTGCATTTGAAGACGAGTGGGGCTATAGGAAAAGATCTGCGACCAGCCATGTGTCTATTGATCCGAGTGATGGTGAGGTATCATCTGACGATGAGTTCGTGGATGCGGAGGACGAGGTCCGGGAGTAAGCGCTGAGACTGAGATGAGATTTGGTACTCAGAGGAGTTGCATTGAAAATGTTGATCTTCGGGATGATGCCTAGGCTTGGATAATAACTTGAAGCCGGATTACCAGAAAATCGGAGGTGTGGAATCAAGGGAAATGCTCTATCAATCCGACAGAGGTCTTTTTCGGTCATCTGGGCAGTAAGTAGCTGGGATCAGCAAACCCCCCCCCCCAGTACGCTCGGAATCTCATGAGTCCCTGGCAGCCCTGCCAGTGACCCTGGCCTCGTTCAATGTCGAGTCATTAGCGCTCTCCAAAAATCGCGATCGGCACTGCAATTCGATCGCATTGATCGTAGTATGGTTTTAGAACACGAATTATTTCAAAATTTCTATACATTCTCTCCCACGAACACCCGCTCGAATAGCGGATTCTGAAGTCCACTAGCGATGAACTCTTCCCGGCTTCTGAAGATTGTTCATCGGCACAAGATCCGCCTCGTCGCTATCACTATAGGATACCGTGAACGTCTTCTGGAACTTGATCTGTCGATCATGTGCATCGTGAACGGAGTTGGACCGGTCAACGGTGACTACACCAACAGTCCGAGCCTGACTGCGCTGAGCAGCATTCTTGGACCTGACGTCGCTCCCATACTGCTGGTAATATTGCCGTCCCTTGCTACGAAGGGTTGAGCCGGACATGGCCGGGAAGATCTTGACCAAGATCATGCGGATGGACGGCAAGCAAGCACACATGATGCCTACGCAGATCTCAATCGTGCTCCACACGCTAACGTCGATAAAGTCCATGGTAGCGTTGGATCCCTTTGCAAAGTCGACCAGGGACTGCAATCGGATGATGCTCACGACGGTGACACTGATGCGACGTTAGTTTTTGTTTTTTTTTCCGCACGGAAGAAACAGTTCAAGACCCAGTAACCCCAGGTCTTGGTAGTGCGCGCGAGTCGAGAAACTTACAAGGTGCCCACGATGAACATCAATGCGACCCCAACCTTCTTCTTCCAGTGCAGTCGCAAAGCTCTCAGCTGCCAGAGAGGGATTGCGAGCATCCATAGATCCAGCGCGATGCTGATTGCGGCGTTGGACCAGCTAATAGCGTTGGCGTTCGCACAACTGCCCTCGTGCATGCGATCCCACTTGACCCAAAAGTAGTGAATCGGCTTGCACTGGAACACTGCGGTGATGACGAACGCGAATCCCCAAACAATGATGAAGATTGTCGTTGCCCAGAGAACGCGCTGCACCTCTCGCGCGGGGAAGATGCGCATGTAGAAGAAGATGATGGCTAGCTTGACCAGCGTCACTTGCAAGAAGTACAGCCAAGCCATGATGTAGAAGTAAAACAGGACATTGGTGATTTGCTCGGGCGTCAGCGTCCAAATGTCCCTTCCTAGGCCGTTCGCGGTGGTTCCATGGACTGTGATGACGGCGCTGGGCATGGCTGCGATCAACGTCGCCATGACGAACCAATCATCCCAGCCAACGTCGAGTCCCGCGAGAAAGATCTTGTATCCGAATCGGCTCAGAACACAGACCGCTGCCAGAATGGCCATGACGTTGGAGAGGACGACATATTCGCCGGATCGGTTGCGCACAGGAGCGCCGCAATTTGTCAAGCTCGCATTTTTCGTGGCTGTAGCGAATTGTGAGTAAGCCTTGATGATGTTCACCAAAAGAAGGCAGAGAGAATGAGAGACTTACCGAGAACTTCTGGTATCGTGCAACTTGCAGAGACACACAGCGTGACGTTTAGCTGGAACTGCTGGTTCGTGCAAATACAAGTCTGGTTTGTGGGAGCACAGTAGCCGCCACTGAAAGCGCTAGCTATACATTTTGTCTGTGAGAAAATGCCCAGCCCGTTAGCCACGTTTCTCCAACGGTCTTCCCAACGGCGCCCGAAATGTCAAAAAATGATCCAAGGGAGAAAGGAATAAACTCACAGCGCAAGCCGGGTAAGTGAGCTTGGTCGCAGAAATCGTCGTCTCCTGCGCCTGTACGGCGACGAAGATGCCAAGGAGCAACGCCAATGCGAGGCGGAAGAAGGATGCCATTGTTGTTCACGGGCGGGCAAGGGCAGCAGCGGTTCCGTCTTGGAGGATTCCCAGAGATCCGGAAGATCTTCTCTTCATAAATGAAATCGGATGGGCTTCCTGCATAGATTACATTCCTGGTCCTCCATGTGGCAGACCGGCCACCTCCCAGGTTTGGTTCATCGCCAAGTCGCCAACTCTTGTCGAGGAATTCCCAAGGGCGCGCCATAACTGACCACTAGTCCCTTAGTCTACCACTTTACCCGACTCTCCCTTCGCTTCGAGGGGACGATGATACGCTGTTCCTTTGGTCCAACACTTTCTGCGACACGAACCGATGCAGCTACTTCGGAGCTCTTCTCTACGAAGTCCTCCTTCGAGACTAGGGTACGTTAGGGAAAGCTGATACTGCCCCCCTCTTTAGCTGCGACTTTTCCGAACTAGCCGTCTGGTTCTCTGGTTGGAAGGTTCTTGGCTTCCCCCAAACGGGAACCAACCCCGTCGTTCGCGCCCCCGGCCAAGCAGCCCCTGCAGGAAAAAAAGGTGCAGCAATGCATCGAAATCACCGGCGGCACAGCAGCGGCTGACGTCTGGGTCTCGGAAATTAGTCCCGTACTAGATCGCGGGTGAAGGAATCGTTGGAGAATATTCCTTCAGTGGCGCATTTTTTTGTTGACTCGGCATTGTATTCGGTAGCGGTGGCGTTTTTTTTCCATACCTGTTGCGGTGGCTTCTATGGTAATTGCGATGAGAAGCGCTTGAAGCCGCCGTCTTGGAGCTAGAATGCAGGAGAAGTTCGTGTTGTCGTTTTAGTCTCTGTTTAATTCAACCTTAATCATTGGGACTTCATTTAGATCTGTGGGCTCCAAGCTGGGTGAGACCAAGAACTAGTCGGCCCCCACGAACAGATTGACACTGGGCTTGTCATTGTCGGGGCCGTCTGGTGTCTCATCCGTTCTCTGTCCCTCACCCCGGTCGACTCCGGCCCCACGGTTGCGCAGAAAGAATGCGGGTGCTCGTCGGATGTCACACGCCTTAATAGGAAGTTCCATTCTTCTTATTAAGGGGACCCCGAAAAAGCCCTGTCTCGGCCGACATGGTTTCTGCCCGTCCGCGTGCTCCAGACTGTCAGTCGGACCGGTTTTGGGTATTGCAGCCGTGAGTTTATCGATCTGGAGATTACCAAAACAGTTCCAACGCAGTTGCCACATACGACTCTGGATAACGCAGTTGCAATACTGCCAATACAATCCATATCGAGTTCGAAAGGAGGCGGAGTTTACATCCAACTCGAAGAGCCGAGGCCCTCGTGCTTCCAGGGGTAGAGATGTTGGCATCCCGCATGATGGATGCGAGGGATATATGAGTTCCAGAACCAGTCACACTTTTCGTGGCTTGCACCTAATCTGCCACCCACCCCTCACTCTCTCCCTCCTCCTCCTCTCCTCCCATCTCTAGGCCTTTTGACTGCTTGTCCAATTCAAGTCATCGACATGAGGCTCTCTTATCTGGCCGTAGCCACCGCCTTGGCTACCATCACAACAGCTGCAGTAACCCCCAAACAGCAATGTCACTGCCTGCCCGGAGACTCTTGTTGGCCCTCGGTCTCCGCCTGGAACCTGCTCAACGCAACCGTTGGGGGGCGTCTGGTCGCCACCAAGCCCATTGGATCGCCCTGCCATGATCCTACATACGATGCCGCGGCTTGTGCTGCTCTGCAGTCATCCTGGACCAACCCCTTGACACAGTGAGTACCGTACCTTCCTCGGTTTAACCCCTCAGTGGCTAACATGACTGTTTTAGCATTCCCTCCTCGTCTTCTGTTATGCAATCTTACTTTGCCAACCAGTCCTGCGACCCTTTTACTGACAGAGCTGTTCCCTGCACCCTCGGCAACTATGTTAGCTATGCTGTCGATGTCCGCTGCACCGCAGACGTCAGCCTTGCTCTCACGTTTGCCAAACTCAACAACCTCCGAGTCGTCGTCCGCAACACTGGTCATGAGTGAGTAGTCCACCTCAACTACAAGTCCTGCTCCACAGTAGCTGACAACTTCCTCTCTTTAGCTTCCTTGGACGTTCTACCGGTGCCGGTGCCCTTGCGATCTGGACCAACCACTTGAAGACCATTGACTTCTCAACATGGTCTGACAAGTACTACACCGGCCCGGCCGTCAATGTCGGTGCCGGTGTCCTCGGCTACGAGATCCTCGAGGCTGCCCATGCAAAGGGTCTTGCTGTCGTTTCTGGTGAATGCGCCACAGTCGGCCTTGCTGGCGGTTTCACTCAAGGAGGTGGTCACTCTGCCCTGTCAACTCAGTTCGGTCTCGGAGCCGATCAGACCCTTGCCTTCCAAGTAATCACCGCTGACGGCAAGACTGTCGTCGCCTCTGCGACACAGAACACCGACCTGTACTGGGCCCTCAGCGGTGGCGGCGGCGGCACTTTCGGCGTTGTCACCGGCCTGACCGTCCGTGCCTACCCGGCCCAAACCGTCGGCGGTGCTGCCTTCCAGCTTCTCGCCGCGACGACCACGCCCGAGAAGTTCAACGCCGCTGTCTCCAAGTTCCACGAGCTGCTGCCCGCCATGACAGACCAGGGCGCTTTCGCTGTCTTCCTCCACAACGCCCAGTTCCTCGTCCTTCGTCCCTTGACTGTCTGGAATTCGACTGCTGCCTACGTTCGCGACGTCGTCCTTGCGCCCTTCACCAAGGCCCTTCAGGAGGAACTTGGCATCACCCTGGCCGTCGCCTACAGCGAGCTGTCCTACCGCGACCACTACGACCGCTACATGGGACCTCTTCCCCAAGGCAACCTTGAGGTGACGCGCTACCAGTTCGGTGGTCGTCTTATCCCCCGCGAAGCGATCGAGAACAACAACGCAGAATACCAAAAGGTCGTCCAGAACCTGACCGCCAACGGCGTTCTCCTCGCCGGTAGTGTCGGACACTACAACAAGCCCGCCGGTGCGCCCGAGAACTCGGTCCACCCGGCGTGGCGCAAGGCCGTCATGCAGCTCCAGCTCATTACCAACTGGGACAATGCCGCGCCGTGGGCCGATATGGAGGCTTCGCAGAAGCGCATGACGGAGGAGTTCATGCCGTGGATCACGGCTGTTACTCCGGGTAGCGCTTCGTACATGAACGAGGCTGACTTCAGGCAGCCGGATTGGCAGAATGCCTTCTTTGGCACTAACTACGCCAAGTTGCTCGCGATTAAGAAGAAGTATGATCCAGAGTCGCTCTTCTACGTTCTTAAGGGCGTCGGTAGCGAGGCGTGGACTGTTGCAGCCAACGGACAGATGTGCCGGGCTTGAGTAGTATCTCTATAGTTGACATAATTACATTAATACCCACTTGCTACATAGAACTTTTTAATGTGAATTATCTTGTAAGGTGTTACGTAACAAGGATAGGGACCGCAATCTACAAAGTACCTATTACGTACTATATTACGTATATTTTATTTATATCCTATATATAGACCTTTTTCTTTTATCTATTTCTATTTTAATAAATTAGGCTATTTTACTATACTCTATATATTTATTACTATATATTATAACTTATAATAGTTATAAACCTAGCTCTTAATTAAGACTTTAAAATACGATAATATATTTATTAATACGATTTTTATTATCTTTTTAAAATAATAGATATCTTTATATTAACTTTTAGTTAAATTAAATTAACTAGTTACGATAGTTAAATTAAATAGTTCTAAGCTTTTTATTTTATAAACGAGGGCTTTAAAGTTTAGAAATATATCGATTTAAACGTTCTAAACTCCGACGTACTCCTCGCTCTCTTTATAGTATTTTTATTATTATTAAATTTCGAATTATTATTTTTAATTTATAATAAAAAAGAGCGACGAGCTTATAAAAATCGTTATAAAGCGTTTAAAAACGATTAACGAAAATAGGAGATCTTTTATTAATAATTTCTAGCCCTAATTTTTAGTACGACCCTTTTAATATCTTTAAATATAAATAATCTATAAAATCTAGCTAGAGTTCTTTTTATAAAACTAATTATATTACTAACTTTATATAACTAAATATATCCCTATATTATATTTATAAAGAAGATCTATATGTTCGAAAATATTTAAAAAGAATAGGAGCTCTTTACTAAGTATTATTAAATTATAGTTCTTAAACGTAATAATATTAATACGTATATTAAACTCTTTATTTAGTAGTTAGGAAAGTCTATTACTACTACTCTTTATAAATACGTATTTTAAAAAGTAATTTAAAAAAGCGTTAAGTTTAGTATTTAATAGATTATTTAATAATTAAAATAGGATTTAGCGCCCTTTAAGGCTATAGTTAGGAGTATAGTTTAGTAAAAATATAAATAAGTCTTTAATAAAATAAAGAACGGAGTTAATACTTAACGTTAGTATAAGGAGTAATAGTCTATTTATTTTTAAATAAAGATATATAATATTTCGGAAATTTAAAAAGAGATTATTATAATTAATTTTTTAAAAGCGGTTAAGTCTAGGCTTAACTTTATATAGGGTTAATAAACTTATAACGCTTTTTATAAATTAATTATTTTTAGGATATATATTAGAACCCTCGAGGAGATTATATATACGTTTAGTTTAATAACTTAGGAAGTATATATAAAACGGCCTTTAGGCTAAAGAAGGGCTTATTTTACTTTTTTAGGGCGTTCTAATTTATATAAAGACATAAATAATAAGGGGGATATTATATACCTATATAATTACGTATATTACTAGCGGCTTTTAGCGTATTAAAGACTAGAATAGGTATTTATAAATCGTAATATTAATAAGTCCTTAATATAAATATTTAATAGCTATATAGAAGAGGTTTTTATTGCAATTAAATTAAATAAATAGAAATTATTTTATAATAATTTAAAAAAGTTAGTTAGTTAAAGGATAATAGAACTTTTAAAAAGCCTCGGCTTTTAAAGGATTTTTTAATTAATTTATAACGAGTTTATTAATAGATTAGACGAGGGCTACGTAGTTACCGTATTTATTAAAGGTTAAAAAATAGAATTAAATATAATTTTTAATACCTCTATAAATAGTATTTATTTTTTATTTCGGAGTACGTAATAAATAGCTACGGGGCAATATATTTAATTAACGATAAAAGCTATTAGAATTTAAAAACTATGTATTATTAAATAACGATAACTATATTAAATTAAAAACTATTATATTACCTATTACTATATATAGGACTCGGATTATAAAGGGCGTT